AAGAAGAAGAAGGTGAGAATTTTTTACTTAACAAAAAAATGATTTTATTATTTATTTATTTATTTATTTTTTGTCCAGTCGAATTTGTGATTTTTTTAAAAAAATGAATTACTCTGGTGAAGAAGAAGAAGCTGCCACGCTTATCACGACCACAACCTCGTCTTCTTCACGATAAATGCCTCAGAAGGGGTCCCAATAGCGCAAACCTAAGAATCCATACACTCCTAGTTACTTTGTGTTGTATTCGAGGAAATTTGTGGACATATTTGTTTTTTTTCTTTGATTTTTTTTTTCACAGTAAAACATATTCCCAAAATACGTTTTTTTTTTGGAGCAAACATAAAACGTATTTTTGAAATACGTTTTAAGGCAAATTGAATTTAGGGCAAAATTGGTTTTAGGTCAAAATCAAGGCACACAGAAAACGTATTTCGAAAATACGTTTTAGGGAAAAATTGATTTTAGGGGAACATTGATTTAAGGGCAAAATTAGGGAAAACATAAAACGTATTTCGAAAATACGTTTAAGGAAAAAATTTATTTTAGGTCAAAATTAGGGCAAACATAAAACGTATTTCGAAAATACGTTTTTTTTTTTTAAATTAATTTGTGCAATAATAAATTATAAAATTAATTTTATTTATAAAACGTATTTTCGCAATAAATGAATTACAAAATTAATTTTATTTATAAAACGTATTCTGGATACATTTTAAATTAATTTAATTAACTTAATTACGTGATTAATGTAAAACATATTCTCAGAATACGCCCTTTTTATTTTTGTCCAGACTTTTTTTTTATTCAGGTTAAAAGTTCCTAAATCACAACACATTACAAAACACACAAAAGCTCAAAACTCCACTAATTACGGAACACCCAACACCACCACATCCCTAGCCAACACCCAATACAACTACCAAGAGAACCACTAGATCAATAGCCCAAATAACGAATCAAGAAACTCCCCTAATGGACTAACGAGATCTGGACCACAGACCCGACCGCCACCTCCTAGTACCCCGCAGACGCAACCCAGGCCGACCTACTCAACAGCCTCCCCATGCACACATCGGAGTCGCCGCACCACCGCACGAGCACCGCCCGAGGAACCAACCTTCCCAACACCAGGGAAGACTGGTGAAAGGGAAAACCAAGGCTAGTCCGCCACCCTGACCATTGCAAAGACGTCCGTGGCGTCCGTCGAACACCGCCACTAGTGCCAACCGACCCACCGCACCCAACATGGCAAAACTTGAAGATCGGGACAACTCGAGGGAAAAGGACGAAACACCCACTAGCACTGAGTCGTCAGGCCCTAGGATGGCCAGATGCAAGCCGAAATTTGGGGCACGAGGGCCGCCGGAGGAGAGGCTAGGGTTATTTCAGAATTAAGGATTTTTTTTTTGCTTTTTCTTTTTTCTTTTCTTTTCATCAATTTTAAAAAGTTCAAAAGTTATAGTATTCTCTTCTCAATTTTATATTTATGTTTTCGGGGTAGCAAGTTATACTGGGCCTCCATATTCAAGAAGTCTTTATTAATATAAAAGGATTACTACCACTTATTAAAAATATAAACTTACTAATCTAAAATTGAAATTTTGTGAATTATTGTAATTTATCATTTTTTTTAAAAAATCATTGCCTTTTTTTTTGGTATAGTTTGGAATTAGTTTATGTAGTATAAAATATTTAAACAATAAAAAAAAAAATTGCCATAAGGATAACTTGACATATGGTATAATTTGTAATGAGTTTGTGTAGGATAAAATATTTCAACTATTAAAAAAAAATCGTAAGGATAATTTGAATATAATTAAGCACGGTGCATTAATTATTCAATCATTTTGTGTGATTGTGTAACGCCCCACTTTATTTTAAAGGATTTATCGAATTTATTTAATAAAAATCACAATAAATTTTTCGCAAACTTTAATTTAATTAATACTCAGTAGGCGCTACTCAAATTTTACTAAAAGCCTTTAACCAAAAATGCAAACGTATTAAATAAAGACAGCATGCACGAATAATAAATCATAAACCAAACTGGCATTCATTAAGTTCCGAATCATAAAGATAATTCACAATTCTAAGTTCAAAACGACACAGTTATAATATCTCAACATAAATGAGCGGAAGCAAATAAATAAGCGACAAATAAACGCATGACCACCACCCGTCTTGTCTCGTCACCCGTCGACTGCTTAACCTGCATCAGTTACGAGCAGGTGGGAGTGAGTACAGTTAACTATCGTACTCACACTATGCATATGAATAACATAATAATGGTATGGTCGCAGCATGAACATAAACAATAAAATCATGTCACATCTCTAGCCACATCAATGACTATAGTCTCATCAAAGACTCACTCATGTACATCTATGCTCATCAAAGCTAAGCCATGCCATATCAGTGAAACATGGGAGTGCGTGCCACATCAATGACACGGCCTTCTCATAGGTCTTA